ATTATTTAACAATATAAAACAGTTATTTAAGAGCCGCATATCAATTTAATGATAAGATATGTCATCTATTTTGTACGGAAGGATAAATTTGAATTAAATTGATACACAATAGGGACCAAATCAGAAATTTTTTTAGGTTAGGGACTAAATCGAGGTTCATACAATAATTGATGGACCAAATTAGGGTTTAACCTTACTGGTATTATCCATCTCCATCGCCAAGTACTTTACTCGCCGATTCTTTCATCTTCTCCCTCTACGGTTCGGTTTCTCGATTTCCCTTTCTTCTTCTGCAAAGGTGAAGTTTTCCTAACTTCCATTCTCATTTTACTCCCTACTTCATTTCTCTACAGTTCTCTTTTCTCTTCCTCTTTGCCTTTTCCAATTTCCTCGATTTTTTCCCATCCCCATTACACAATCGGTTGCGTTCATCTGCACAATTGATTGAATTTGATTGCTGCATTTATGTTTGAATTTTGCAATATAAAGCTCTCAGCTTTCATTTGTCGGTAGAAAGATTCATGCTTGCGCTCTGTTGATACTGTCTTGTTTTAAGCCACTCTTTTTTCTTTCTTTCTTTCTTTCTTTTTTTTTTCTCTTTAACTGTTATTGAAATTCAGTGAAAAAATGTAAATTCTTTCGTTGTTTTGCATCATAATCATTTTATCAGAATTGCCACTTCTGATTGTAGTCCAGGAAAAGATTAATACAATCTTATTAGTTGTTCTTATATATATATATATATATATATAGATACAGTGTGTTTTGCAGTGCTAAATCAGGAATTGAAGTTGAGAAGAACTGCTGAGTTGATCAGCGGTTTGGTTAAATGGGAACTGAACTGGATTTTCTCAGTTACCTTGGTTATGACATGTCAGTGAAGATTTTCACACGTTTGGATGATCCGTCTGATATTGCTCGTGTTAGCTGTGTCTCTCACTCTTGGCGAGATTTTGGTGAGTTATTAACAACTGCAAATGTACACATGATAAAGGGACTGAATTGTAGCCTGTTCTAAATATTTTGAAAAGTTTTTGTTGGGGATAGGTTGTCTAGAAGTATGATTGATAAGTCAATAAAATTCTAAGCATTATGGTTGGCCGCTGGGGTACCACTGTAGTTTGTACTTAGTTGTGCTATTTTCACTGATCAAAGAAGGTAACAGTTCATAACCAAAATACTAGGTATTGATTTTTCGTTTGCTATTTTGTGAAATTTCCAGTGATAGCTAATGGTCTTGCCAAGCATCTGTGCTTGAGGATGTTTCCTCAATTATCTGGAGTTGATCATGTGGTTGAGCCCGCCTCCATGGCAGAAAGCCTTGTGGCAGTTGGATCTAGTAACATGGAATGGGAAACGCTGAAGAAAGAGCACAGGGCTTATGCCTTTTTGGCTCGAGGTTTTATGTCATTTCCTGAAGAAGAGAAGTGCATCTCAGAAGCCATCATTGCTTCCAGCACTGATCGTTTGCCCTGGGAAAGCATAGATAATACTCTGGAGCAGAATGATATAGTGGGAGGGAGAGATTCATACTGGTCAAGTAAAGGATACAGTAATCCTGCAGTCCCTGAAACTCTAACTTACAAATTGGTGGCTGATTTGTGTGTTGTTACTGAAATCAAAATAAAACCTTTCAAAGGTATGTGTTCCAAACTTTTGACTGTTTAGACACCATTTCACCCTTTTTAATATCTACCTTGTACATTTTCCCTAATAC